ATGATAAAACATTTTCTAAAAATATATATTTTTTTATACGTCAATACTTTACAATAGCTAGCCGTTTTTCTGCGTCAGTTTTTGTTTACTGTTATTAAATTAAATACACAGTCGTACAATATACTTGTGTGTAAACTTAAGTGGTAGCTATAGAGTGTTTCATAGTTCCAATTATTACTATAGTACTATTAACCTACTATTTTTGTCTTATACTAACCAAATAAGTACATTTTTGATTTCGCAAGTGGAGCATTGGAGTGTACATTGTGATAAACGAATTATTATGTAAATAAAATATTGATGTATCTTATTGATTTTAGAAAAATTAACAAGCGGATATGATTATTTCCGTTGTATTAAATTTCAAATACATTTATAAACTTACATTAAAGTAGATTAAAAAGCATCGTTTTCAATAAACTAAAACTTCATAAACGGTAAAATTAATCCAATAAAATATGTAATTTAAATATTTAATAACCATATTTTTCTCCTTGAATTTAAATATTAATTTTGACCAGTATAAAATAAGCTTCTCAATAAATTCCATATTCATATTTATATGTCTATGATGTTATTAACTAGATATTGGAAAAAAGAGATATGGAAATTCAACAAAATGTTTATCAATGTGTTCAATAAACATTCTATTGAGTTTGGTGCATCAATAATATAGATGATTGTATACCTTTTTTAGGACTGCAAATCAGTAATTTATCTGATGTTACACAGTGATCTTATATACAAATATATTTTTATTAAACAACATCATGGCCTTCGGTTAAAATAATCGTTTTTATCACACTTACCGCAAATAGACTCGAATGCACGGAATAAAATATTGTAAGAGTAATAAATATTGATAATGATTTTGTTTAGTATTATTTCAAATTGTAATTATTGTTTACGATAAAAACCATCGGTTTTGCACGAATACAATGCAGATATAAATTCTAGACGTTTTGGTAAGAGGCTCTAAAAGCACAACAATGTTGTGTAACATCGTATTATTTTATCGACGGCATTATAACACATACTCTACCCATATAATTATTATGTAAATGGAACATTTCAAATACGTGAAATTATTAATAATAATTTGTTAATCCAGTTGGGACGAATACAACAACGGACACAATAGCGGCGTATTATAATAAATTGGTCACGATGAATAAAAATAAAATCGATGTCGTTATAGCGAGATGGCGTCAGGAAATAATGGAAATTTGAACTAAAATAGGATAAAGATTGACGGAGTAGAGAAAGACCGGTGCGGCGTAACGCGTGTTGTTTCATCAATCATCCGACGGGAAACCATAGTATTATATATTCGGATATTCTAGCAGAACATTGGTCTAAGCTGTTTAATTTTTATCAATTATTATGTTGCAATAATAATGACATTTTGTGTGTGCGAGTTTTGTGTGAGGAATTACTATGTATTTAGTATTTTAATGTTTAAATTTTTTTTTTAAAAATCATCAAATAGTGTTCTATAGTCAATAATTAAAACACATACGTAGTACGTTTTGATCCAAATACATCAACCCCCCCCCCCCCCGACGAGAATTTTTTTTTAAATTCATCAATCGGCGTAGTCGCGTAAACACATAACGATAAATAATTGAATAAAATATAAAACGAGGGTTTTTGAGAGGAAATGTGTCCTACGTACTCAGTATGTTCACTGGGACTCGGCTGACGATTTAACATTAATTGTGTGCGTTTATACCATATTTTTGCATAAATATGATTGAAAAATTATTTCAGTTTGAAATGTTGCGCTCAACTGGAGCACGTATTTAAGAGACGACCGCTTCGGTTATTTAATGAGGTGTGTGGTTGTGTTGGACAGTAATGTGATTTTTAAAAACAAAATAAGCAACTTTTTAAAAGAGTTCTTAAGGGTAACAAAGGTCGTAAATATGGTTTGGGTATAGGTATAATACAAATGCACCTCTAGATTTTTAAGTTGGCCACGAAACTGAAGACTGATCACATTTTACATTGAAATAAAATATATGACAGATAAAAGTATTATTTTAACACATTTTGGAAATCTAATTGAATTGAGCCAGGATTTCCATTAGATACAAAAATTAAAATTGTTGTATGATTATATGCAATATAAAAACAAATATGACAGTAAGTTTGCTAAGTAAGTATGCACGTCATCGTATCCTGCAATATAATATTTGATCAAATTTACCATCAACCTTGAAAGTGAAATTAATTAACTTTTAAATAGCAATATCATAAAATGTTAAAAATATTAAATAATGGTATTCAAAAAATCTTGAGATTTAATTGATTGTCTTATCTTTTTCTTCGTAAATTGGATACATATTATTTTAAAATATTTCGCTGAAAATATTTTGACAAAAATGTTAAAACAAAATATTTAAAATAATACTTAAATGTAATTCGTTTAAATGTTTTAATTAGACTACAAAATTCATCTCATATTGAGTACAAGAGAAGGGAAGAGTGTCCTTTTTATTGAAATTCCCGCAGAAAATATTATTTAGGTATTTTCGATTGCTACTTATGCAGTACGAATGTTATAATTAAATAATATTATAGAAAAAATGCACTGAACAAATAAACCTATAAGCCTATACAAATGGCCCCCTTCCTTTTTCGATGAGCAGGGATCCATGGGTGCTCAAAAAAAATATAAAGGACTGACCTTATAAAATAAGTCAGTATGGTCACTGGTCAGCATAAATATAAAATGTATGTATTCATATATATTGCAAAAGGTGGTTGATAATAAGAAATGATTTTCTCTTCCCCCGATTTAATTTTAGTTCGGGTTCATTGAAAGTTAACAACAGGTAAAGTATATTTATTGTTAAATTAAAATAATAATATTATAATTTATATTTTCTAGTATTAAACACATCAATCACTATTATTTTACATGAAATTGTTTTTTCGTTAAAATTGTGTACAAACCAACAATAGTTACATAGACATGTGACAATTTTTACACGACAACTTAAAAACTAGTATATATTTTATGAAATTTACATTATATTATAATACTATACCAAACCGCTTACATTATATTATTTATTGTTCATTATGTAACCCATATTTAAATGATATCTGTAAATCACTCACAACGATAACTGTTGCCGACAGTAATTTAAAATAAAAAAAATATTTACATATAGTTATATACCTGTTACGGTTGTTATACAATGTGCATGTCTTCGCGTGAATAGTGGATTATGATAAACATAATATTTAACTTTTGAGTTCTTTGTTTATTTTCTAGGGAAAAATAATTGAGTTCCATCCATTATTGATTATATTATTTAATATTCGATTATATCATTAGAGATTATACATTTTAATTCCCTATTGACTTTGCACGAGTCGTCTGAAGTTCGATTTTGAAAAAAAAATAGTTCGTTCCTTTAAGATTTTATAATTATTTTATATTACATCTTATGCAGGTATAATACAATTTTAGAAGTTGACATGTGTACCTTGTGTGGATAATCGAGGTGATTCCTACAAACAGCAAAACCGTATTAGTTATTAAACTGCTCCAGAAACACACGCGCTGCACCTTACACAACCTACGTGCCGTGTGGTTTTCTGTTAATAATAAAAATAACTTCTATAAATGTCTACTTAATATTTTTAGTAACACATTTTGCAGTTTGTGTGGTAAACCAACAACTCTTAACAACAGTTTATCTTATTATTAACCGATTGTATAACAACAATTGTCAATTGTACGAATGAACGTTAAAAATTGACTGACGCCTTTGCGCAAGGATCTTAATATTAAAAAACTGTTACCTACTCCGAATACTCAAATTTTATACTCAGTAATGTTACAGAGATTCACTAACCATACTCAATCTTTACTTACAAATATTATTTAGTTTTATTATACCTACCATTGCGATATGGACTTTTTTCAAAGGTAAATTACCTTTTTTCGTAATAAATTATTTAACAGATGACATTTTTCAAAATGTTGAGGTATCCAAATCGAAATTTGAACAAATAGCTTTTGAGTAATTTTATTTTGTAAACCAAAGATCCATGGTAAGGAAGATATGATAAAAAGATGTAAAGAAGATACTATGGTTTGAAAATTATAGTATTTAATATCAATTTATAAACATTTTATATGTTTGTAAAAATTGTTTGAATTTGATAAGTACGCTTGATTAAGTATTACATTTATTTTTGAGTTTTCTTAAAACCATTTTTAAAGACTAAGTATCCTTAGTATACTAGACTTGGGTAAAATACTTTTTAGAAGTATTTGGAATAAATACTCGAAAACTTATGAATAGGAGTGTTATGAAGGAAGTATTTTAAATACCATATAAGAATTCCAAATGACAAATACTTTTAAAATAGTTCTTACATTAGATACTAAAAATATTATTCATGTCTTCTGAAAAATTTGAAATTTTATCCAATATTAAAATATTAAATTTAGTATTCAGAATACTGTATTAAATATTTTAAAAATCCTACTCCAAATACTGTAAACGGAATACATTTTTTCAAAATATTACTGATGTATGCTTAGTACGTATATTCAGAAACTTCTCATTAAAATGTGGATTGGATACATTGACATTTTCAAAAAAATAATCTGCTTAATAATGTACTGCAGTTAAAAAGGTAAAAAGTAGTCTATATCATTAATAGTGCAGCACACTTCTTAAATTATGTGAAAAAAACTAAATAATTTAAAACAGTGTCCTTTAAAAAATATATACATATTATCCTTGAAAATTAATAAGTTATTATCAACATAGTATACTTCCTAAAAAATAATTGAATTTTTTATTTTGACATATGTTGAACGCTTATACGTAATAACATTTTTTAAAATTTAAATTGAATTCGTCTGATATTAATTTACACAACAGTTATATAAAATATTATAGTATCGTAGGTATGTGGGATTCTGAATAATATTAAAATAATTAAATGCATAAAGAAAACTCATTACAACTCACGTTTCAACTGCACTTTCAGCGTGGCGGCGTTGATCGAGGTTTATTGGAGACGGTAAGAGTGTAAAAAAACAACCAAAAGTTCAAACAATAATACAACTGAAAAAATAAAATCGTTTTACTAACTGCGATCAGAAATAATACATATACTATCCCGATCGTCTCCCGTGTTCTGTCCTTTACGGTTATTCGCACGAAACGTTTAGCGGCAGACTATCGTTCGCGCCGGCAAGTCCGGAGACTTTAAAGGTGCTCCGACTCCGCCTCCACCGCATGTGCAAACGCACGGTAAATACCGTACCGCTACGGTACACATTATAAACCGTGCGCGGTACCCGATTTTATTGTAACGTAGAGGTCGCGAGCGTTTATCTCGAAAATGTTTCGAATCAAAATCGATAGGTAGGTAGGTACTCGTCAAATAATAACGATCATTACAATATAGTATACCATGGTACAATGTATGTACCTACAGTTAAGGAAGTTATGTATATATATATAATTATATTCCGTGGCCTGGTGCACTGCTGTGGTCATTATGCATATAAATACGTATATGTCCGTTAACTAGGGCTTGTGTTCGACATTTAAAAGTAAAGCTCTTCACAATTCAAAAAAATAACGTTCTTAAAAATCATTAAATTTTTTGTTCATTTTATAAAAAATATTTAATTAAATACTCAATGAACATCAAATACAAATAAAAAAATTGTGAAATCAGCTTACGTATTTTCTATGAAAAATGTATGAAGAAACTTTTGTTAAATTACAATGCATTTTTCAGAATTCTCAAATAAGACCTATTATTCAAACATAAGTAGAGTAAAAATAAAATATTTTTTGTATTATATTAACTATGTTTAAAAAAAATACATTGATTAAAGTGAATGGCTAAAAGTTATAAGTCCATAAGGTTAATATTTTTGAATTAAAATAACTCAACTAGTTTGATGAAAAATAATTTAAATATCAAAATTTTTTTATACATTGTTAATAGGACAAAAAAAGGGAGATTTAAAAATACAGTAAACTACGCCCAAAGTACAGGTCAATAAATTGCCTATGAATATAACCCTAAAATTAAAATAAAAGATTTATTAATTTATAAATTAAAATATTAGTTTTATCATGGCTTATAATTGAAAATGTTGGTATTACTTAATATTGTATTATACAATTTAATATATTTTAAAAAATTAATGTATTATTTAATATTTGTGTTTGACTAGCTGACATGAAAATTGGTTTAACATAGTACAATCACAACTTTGCATTTTGGTTTTACACTTAATAGTATGAACATAATAATATGTGGTTTACTATGTGTTTCAGCTTAGAATTAAAATTTTTCAATCATGTTAAATTTAAGCCAAGGCAATTATTATCATATACCATTGTCTAGACAAATATTGGCATTAGATAGTATGTACAAGATGGGTGTCAAAGCATCATTTTACAATGAACATTTTACGTATCTACGGTTATTTTTATTTGTGTTCTCGCTTTTCCTTAATTTTTTTTCACCGGATCTTATCAAAATGACTGGGCATTTTTAATTTCGATCTCTCAAATGCATTGACTTGATTTAACTTTCCACCAGAAAACTAACTTAACCTAACCTTTCATGCTATAGTACGACAGTCGACAATACCATGCGAACAGCGATTGACTCAATAACTATTGTCCATACCCTGTATTGATAAATCGAGTTTATTTCAAACATGGCAAACATTGACCAGTTATATCTACGGACAATGAACGGAACAACTGAGGGCGGGAGATACGAACCTAAACTAAGTTTTTCCGACATCATGGCCGGGCTCAATGCTGAACCACCGGTCGAAAATCCTGTGACGGAATGTGTGTCCTTATCATCATTCAAACTAAAAATTATTAATTCCTTGAACGATTGCCTCGAAAAATTCAAAAACATTGAAATCAAAGGTGAAATAATATACAACAACAGTTTGCATAGAGCATATAGACAAGGTGCAGTATGCAGAGTTGCATATAAGTTGCAGCGTTTACCGAAAGACCCCTGTAAGTTGTTGTATCAACAGTTAAATGGCCGAGGTGCGTCCTGAATTGGGCCACAATCGCGAAGTGGATTTTATTCCCGATCTTATAAATACTGGATGTACAGTTGAAATACCAACAGGGATCGAAATTAGTGATCTGGTGAACGGTCAGATTGTCAAGAGCAAAAGTGTTTTAGTAGGTACTTATACCACATACTGTATCAACCAACAAGAATATCGTGTCGACTCAAGGGTGTGCCTAGAATCTCTGTACGGAGAGGGCACTTGAATTAAAAACATTTTTAAGATGCTGATTATTTAATAAATACTGAAAAACTACATTATATGTTTTTTTGTTAACGGGATTGGCACTTTCCCCTCCCCCCAGAGCCTCCTCGCCCGGGTCCACGTCATTGTGTGCCGTAGATATATGTCCAGGACGCTGACGACACTGGACAGTATGCGTTGAGCATAGTGCACACAATCGTTAAGACGAAAGGTGCGAATTGGAGGTAGTTTCTACTCGCAGATCGCTGGCAATTAAGCAAAGTCTCGTTGAGTTACTAGCATTTTGACAAAAACCACGTGCATATTATAAAAAAAAAACTTGTTGCCCCAGAACGCAACGTGTGTAATTTTTCACCCAAAGTTGAGTTATCCGAGTTGGCTAGACGAGTGAAGTCAAAAACAACTGCATAGAGTTTCCGTGTTTCGACGGTGTGCGCTCATATGAACTAGAAAAAAATCGTAATCGTGGACCAGTTTGTGTTTGTAAGCTCGAATGGTGCAATAAGAAATTATTCAGGCTCTCCGAGTGTTTTCGGTTAACGCCACACCGATTATGCACCTTGCCGTGTGCCATGATACAAAATACAAATTGCTATTTTAACACTCATTGCTTCGAGCTAATATGGATTCTCGATTGATCCTGAAGAGCTGTCGTGGAGAATTGGAACCGAGATATTTGGCTTTAAACGATACAATGCGTGACGTGGGTAATTATAACTTATAATAGTATCAAAAAACGCTAATGAAACTGCTGTACGACTTGAAGTTATGAGTTATTTCGCTGTTAATAACCGATTCGAAGTGATTGGACGTGACCCAGACTCTGTTAAAAAAAACCGCTGTAAAACAATATTTGTCGGACAATGTTTTTACGACGGTTCCCAATTTTAGCAGGTATAAAAAAACGCAGCAGTAGCTTATCCGATGGATACAAATTAGACATCCTAAATACCCATTTTATGTCCAGTACATTTATAATATTATTAAAGTCTCTTTTGAATAATTATTGGTGTACCTATTCTAATAAACGGCATATCTTTAAATATAAATAAGTATCAATGTATTTCTTTCACAGAAAAACGTAACTGATGTTTCTTTTAACCTTCTATCGGTCGCGCGGGGTAAATAATCTCCCAGTCTAAATATAGACATCAGTAAAACTTTCCCACGATTACGTGCCTACGTTATATCTTGTATAGCTGTTGATAACATGTTTATCTAAATTTATGATTCGACCAAAGCTTGTTTTAGTGAATCAGTTAGTTTTAACTATTCGCTTAAGTTGATTGTGTCGTTTTTGGAAATTATTTACCCCGTGCGACCAATTATTATTTTTTTTATACAACATGGACGAATTCCAACGGCGACGTATTCAACAAATGTTAGATGATGCTAGTGATGAGGAAATCTGGGGTGATATTTCTAGTGATGAAAATGAAGATGCTGAACAATCACAAGTTTCGAATCACGATACAGACACGGAACAGTCGGGATACTCGGATGAAGATAATGGTATTACACGCGATACTATTGATGTTTGTGATGAAAAAAGTTATCATGAATCTGATGACGACTTACCTTTGGCTATGCGGTTGGTCGATTCGTATTATGGTAAAGATGGTACTAAATGGAACCGTGAAAAACCACTTCAGATAAGACGAGCCTATGCACAGAATGTTCTTACCGAGAAATCAGGTGTAAAAGAAACTGCGAGACAAGCGAAAACTATATTAGATTCGTGGTATATTTTTTTTCCAAAATCTATGTTGGAAATTATAGTCAAATGTACGAACGTATACATCCAAAAGGTACGACCAAATTTTACGAGGGAACGAGATGCTTCTGACACAAATATTGCAGAAATAAAAGCTGTCATTGGAATTCTTTATATGATAGGTAAATATAATAAATATATATAATATATAATTATAATATATTTATATTATATATATTATTATAAAATATTATAATTATATCATATTATATTTGTATTATATTAGTTGTATAGTATAATTATAATATATTTATATTATATATATTATTATAAAATATTATAATTTTATCATATTATATTTGCCATATTATTTTTATTTCAATTTTTTTGTGTATGTATACTTAGGTGCTATAAAATGTGGACACCGAAGTTCGGAAGATTTATGGAAAAAGGATGGAACAGGGGCAGAACTATTTTCGTGCGTAATGTCAGAACGAAGATTCCGGTTTATACTCCGTTACATTAGATTTGATGACGTTCGAGGTCGAAGTGAACGACAAAAAATTGATAAAATAACACATATACGGACAATATTTGAAATGTTTGTGAGCAGTTGTAAAACGGCATACTCCATGTCTGAATATACCTGCATCGACGAAAAATTACAAGCGTTCCGTGGAAAATGTTCATTTCGTCAATACATACCGAGTAAGCCAGCAAAATATGGAATAAAAATATTTGCCCTCTGCGACAATTTAAATTTTTACACAGGAAATCTTGAAATTTATGCTGGTACACAACCTGATGGGCCGTTCAAAGTTGATAATGGTGCCGCTAGTGTTGTCAAACGGTTAATTCAACCGATTTCAAAAACTGGTAGAAATGTAACTACTGACAACTGGTTTACCAGTGTTGAGTTAGCTAACGATTTACAAAAAACACATAAACTTTCACTACTAGGTACTTTACGGAAAAATAAAAGACAGATCCCCCCCGAGTTTACTCAAACAAAACACCGAATTATAACATCTTCGTACTTTGCATTTAGTAAAAATCAAACGTTGGTTTCATACATGCCGAAAAAAAATAAAATTGTTTTAGTTCTTTCAACAATGCATTTTGATAAAGCAATTGATACAAATACGAATGAAGCAAGAAAGCCGGAAATAATTACTTTATATAATGCCACCAAAGGCGCCGTCGATAA